AGGAGATTTGTCTGCTGTAAAGGAAGGACACGCAGCTCCTAGGAGCCAGGAGGCGCTCCTGGAAGTAGGGTCCCCTATCCATGAGCTTCTCAGCTTGCAGAGCCCATCCCCACACAGGATTTGATCCACACAACAACACTGTGTATTCAGGAATTAATTCTCCTGCAGTAACAAACCAACCCCACAATGTCAGTGGTTTCACATCATAATAAAAGTTTATTTCTTGCTCTCATCACAGACTAATGTGGGTGTTCCTGGTTGACAGGTGGACTTCCGTGTGGTGGCTAAGGACCCCAGGCTCCTTGTACACTGTGGCTTCACCCTCCGGTGGGGCTCTAGACCTCCAAAAGATGGACAAAGAGCAAATGGACAAAGCACCACTGTTTCTTAAGGACACACCTCATTTGAGCTCAAGTTCCATTCATCAGGACTGGTCATATGGCCCCACCCAGGTGCAAGGGAGGGTGGGAATGGTTGTTTCCAGCTGTGCAGCCATTTTGCAATAGCTCAACTTTAGGGCAGACGAAGCATGATTTGGGGGGATAGCCAACCGTCACTGTGACACCCTGTCAGATGGGTGTTATCCTCAGGAACCTGAGGCTCAGTGCAGGCAGGTGACTTGCTCAAGGTTTAGTAGTTAGATCCATGATTACAAACTAGCTGTCCCCCCTCCCAGCTCCTTGCCCCATGCCACCTTGACCAGCCAGCTCATTGATTTGAATTTTAGGCAGAGTCTTAGGCCTGGTGCTTTATTTTACAAAGCAGTTTTAACTTAAAAACTTCAATTCATCCTCAAAATGTCCTGACAAAGGAGGGGGGAAACAAGTGATCCCCATTTCACAGATAAAGAAACTGAGTAAGACCAGCTCTGAAGAGAAGTTAGAAGCCCAAGGTCACAGGCACTGCAGACCTTCCAAGCAATAGATTACAGATGTTTCTCTTCCTCAGGTATCCATGAAAAGAATCAGTCTGTGCGTCTTATGTGGCGATTAAAAGTGAAGCCTACATTCTAGAGCCTGTCTGTCATGTGCATGGCTTAGGTGTGTTAAAAGATAAACTGAGGCATATTTAAGTTTTCAGAAGTTTATTTGAGCAAGTATCGATTAGGGTTGGGCAGCACCAAACTGGCAGTGGTCAGGAGTGCTCTGCTGACAGGAACTCGGGGCAAGGCTTTTCTAGGGCAAGGAGATTATTTGATTAGCTATAGCTGAAGAGGTTACTTATTTGGGAAAGCCTAGTGGGCTGTTTGTGATTGGTTGTTCTTAAATTTCAATTTCTCAGATACAAGTGCATTGACTCTGGCTTAGGTTTCAGTTTGCTGACATAGGCTACCAAGACATCAGAGCCACCTCAGTCTAATGGCCTCCTTGTTTACTTTAACAGGTGGTATTTGAACTTCCCCTTCTTAATTGGTGGTCTCCAAATGCATATCTCCAGCATCATTCCCTCCCCAATCTGTGTGACCCCAGAAGTGTCCTCTCCCCATTCAGTGTGACACCATGAGTATGGACACCACTGTGTGTGATGCCAGAGGTGTCCCCATCCCAGTGTGTGACTCCACGATTATCCAAACTCCAATCTGTGTGACCACAGTTGTGTCCAAATACCAGTATGTGTGACCTCAGGAGTGCCCACCCCCCAAACTGTGTCACACCAGCAGTGTCCACACCCCAGTCTGTGTGATCATGAGTGTTCAAATCCCCAAGTGAGTCACCCCAGGAGTGTTGACTCCCCAATCTATGACCCCACATGTGTCCAATCCCCAATGTGTGTGACCCCAGGGCCACCCACACTGTAGTTTGTGACCTTGGCAGTGTCCACACCCAAGTCTATACTGAGGAGTGTCCACACCTCAATCTCTGACCCCAGGGGTGCCAACTCATCATTTCTTTGACCACAAGAATGTCCAAATCCCTTTCACTGAGATCACAGGAGTGTGCACAACACAGTCTATGTGACCACAGGACTGTTCCCACCTCAGTCACTATGACCCCAGGAGTGCCTCCTCCTCTGTGTAACACCATGGATTTCACACCTCAGTCTGTGTGACACAAAGAGTGTCCAGTCCACAACATGTGTGATTTCAGGAGTGTCCACTCCCTATGGTGTGTAACTTCAAGAGTGTTCCAAACTCCTTCTGTGTGACCCTGGGAATGTTTACTATCCAGTATGTGTGAGCCTTGGAGTATTCACACCTCTGTCTGAGTGACCTCACGTCTGTCCACACTCCAGCTTGAGTGACTCCAGGAGTGTCCAAACTCCCATCTTTGTGACCCCATGTCTGTCGACACCCACTCTGTGTGACCTCACAGTTGCCCACACTTTACGCTGTCTGAGCCCAGGAGTGCCCACATCCCAGTCTGAGACCCCAAGAGACCCCAAGAGGCTCCACACTCCAATCCGTGTGAACTCAGGGGTGTCTACACTCCAGGCTGACTCCTGGGATGTCCACACTCCAGTATGTCTGACCTTATGAATGTCCACTCCCTAATGTGAGCCCAGAAGTATCCACATACAAATTTGTTTGACCCCAGGACTGCCTACACCTGTCTGACTATGAAAGTGTTGACATACTAGTCTATCTGACCCAGAGGTGTCTACACTCCGCTCTGTGTGACCCCAAGAGTGTGCAGTCTCGAGTGTGTGTGATTCCAAGAGTGTCCATTCCACAGTGTGTGTGACTTCTGGAATTCCCAGACCCCCATTTGAGTAATCCAAGGCTGTCTACACCCCAGTGTGTACTACCTCATGGGTGTATACCTCTGTCTATGTGGCCCCAGGAGTGTTCACACCCCACTCTGTGTGACTCCAGGATTATTCACACCCCTGTCTCTGCTACCCCAAGGACGTCCACACATCAGTCTGTGTGGCCTCAGGAATGTCCACACAACAATTGCACAATGGTATGTTCCGAGACAGTACTAGATTCCTCAGTGCCAGCGCTCCCACACACCCTCTGTGGGTGTGACCTGGGTGGGGCTGTTCATGCCTAATTCAGTGGATCATTTTGTCCCTCGCTCCCTCCAACACCATTAAGTGGTTTCTTCTATTCCTATTTCCCCTCACTCTCCCCAGTGGACCATTCAGTTTCCATATTCCTCTCCCCAACCACACATACACACACATGCACGCACAGACACACACACATCCATGTCCCCAAACAGACCAACCCAGCCCCAGCCCCTGCAGATCTTGTAGAGAGCAAAGGCCAAGGCAGCCTGCCTCCTGATACAGACCCCGCCCCGCAGAGAGTAGCAAAGAGGAAGCCAGGAAACGCACCACTGATGGGAGTAAAACCTTCCAGGACCTTGTGAAACATCTAAATAAAAATTGGACACCCTTCTCCTCCCCCACTAGAGTGCCAGCTCCACATGGGCAGGGACACTTGTCTGCCTTGTTCTCTGATGTCTCCCCAGCACCTAGAATAGTGTTGGGTACACAGAACACGTTCATTAGGTGTTTGTTGAATGTATGAACTCTGACTCAGCAATTCTACCACTAACTTGAACACTCAGACACACGTACAGAGCTGTGTGCACAAGGCTGCTAGGAGAAATCAACTGGAAAAACCTTGTAAATGTCCATTTATAGCCAATGACTGTTGCAGAGTGAAATGAATGGTGGTGCTTCACGTTACACCACAGAGCCCCCGCCAGGTGTGATACAGAATGAGTGGGACCTGTGTGTACCTGTGGGGATTGGGGGTGCCTTCCACAAGACATGCTGTTGACAAGGAAAAGCAGGTAGGAGCTGGTTATGGTGACCGTATGAGTGTGTGTGTGTGTGTGTGTGTGTCTGGAAGGAAACACCAGAAACTGACCTCAGTGGTCATTTTTGGAGAGTGGAGGTAGGGATGACCTGTGTAGTCCATATACTTGATGTACTGTTGGAACCTTTTATACAAACCTATATTCATGTATTATTTATGTAACTCTTCATAAAGGAAAATCATATACTAAAAACAACATACATAGCACAAAGCATTTGTGTGTGTGAGGGAGTTATCTGGGGTGTGTCTAGGTACAAGAATCTGAAACTCACATGCCCCATGGGCCAGTTAGGTAACCCACAAGAGAGAGGGGTCTCAGCTCAAGGTAAGGCGAACAGCAACGAGGCTGATGAATGTTCCCTGACTCTCAGCAGTGGAGGGTGAGGGTGGGGTGAAGGATGGGTGGGGATGGGGAAGACCCCAGAGCTCACATCCCAAAAGAATTCAGACAGATTGTACCCTGGGAGACAGAACACTTAACAGCTTAGAGATCTTGGCTCGGAAACACACCCATAATAAATCAGAGTGGTTATACTCTAACTCAGATAGCTCCCAACTTCACACCCTGGGCAGACACCCAAACAGATCAGAGATCTCACAGTCTGGAGATACACCCCTAAATAGATCAGAGGCCTCACACTCTAGAATAAAGTTCCCCCTAATACTTTGGGATGGGTGGTTTTCCTGTGTACTTACAAAGTAATCCCTTACACATATACACCTTGTTACGGATTGAATGTTTATGTCCCCCTCCCCAAATCCCCATGCTGAAGCCCTAACCTGGAAGACGGGGCCTTTGGGAGGTGATTAGGGCTCAATGAGGTCATGAGAGTGGGGTCCTCATGATGGAATTAGTGCCCTGACAAGAAGAGACCAGAAAGCTTGCTCTTTCTCTCCACCATGTGAGGACATGGTGAGAAGGTGGCTGTCTGTGAGCCAGGAAGAGAGCCATCACAAGAACCCGACCAATGTGGCACCCTGATCTTGGACTTCTGGCCTCCAGAAGTGTGAGAAAATAAATTTCTGTTATTTAAGCCATGCTGTCTACAGTACTTTATTATGGTGGTCCAAGCTGGCTAAGACACACCTTAAGCTTTTACTTTTAAGGCCCAGAATTTTATGTCAGAGTCCTTATACTTGCACCACCGACCTCTGTCACCACCAGCAGTCCTCGTCCATGGCCCTCCCATTCCTGCCCCTTGATCTCCAGGCACTGAGCCAGAGGGTTGTCTGGAGGCCCCAGGGCAAGGATACTAGTCTGCCATGCTGTGCCGTCTGACCTCCAGGCTGCCAGCCAGGATGTGGGGCAGGACTTCAGAGAAGCAGGTAAACGGGGTGGCCCCTGGGGGCCTGGGGCACGGGTATTAGCACCAAGGCTGGGGATCGCCCAGCCGGGGCCTGGTAACCTGTTTCCCTTCTGTGCAGGCTATCCTAGTGTGCTGACATCCATTTTGCTGTCCTTCTCTCTCTATCTTCCTCTTTCAAAGACAAGCAGAGGGCAGCAGAGGGACACGGAAAATCCCTGTGCTAACACACGGTCAGCTGTCAACATGTCTGCAGGAGTAGGCCTGGGCTGAGGGCTGGCTGCTCTGCTCCCTCACGGTGGCTCAGGGGAGCCAGTTCAGCCAGGGACATCAGGATGAGGCCGTGTGGGGAGAGGCCAGGAAACAAAGTGCTGACCTGGAGGTTTGCCAGGAGAATTCCAGGGGCCCCTGGCACCTTGAAGAGGACTTTGTAGAAAGATAGAAGCCTTCCCTGTGAAGGAGGCAGGAGGGAGGGCATTGTGTTTTGGGTACTCTATTATATATATAGGGTAGGAATAAAATGGATTATATTTTATATAGTGCTTAGAACAGGGCTTGGCACACAGTAAGCCTTATATGATTACTATGTCTTGATCATCTTTTTGTAAACCAGCCTCCCTAACCTTGCCTCCACAACCCTGCACGATCTAGCCCTTGCCTTCCTCTCCTGCTCATGCCTCACTCACTGCTGGATTCTAAGTCACACTGGCCTTCTTCCTGTTCCTTAAGAAAGCCAGCCCTGCTCACCCTTGAATTTGCAAGGCCGGAGCTCCCCATCTGCAAAACAGGATCTGGGGAGTGAATCTGAGCTAGCAGGGCATTGGAAAATGGGAGGAATAGGCTGAGTTCGTTTCCAACAAACTATCAAAATTGGGGGATGCAAGTAAAGCAGTGCTTAGGGGAAATCTATAGCTCTAAAGGCATAGATCAGAAAAGCTGCAAGTCCATGACCCGAGCTTCCATATCAAGAAGCTGGAAAAGAAACAGCAAATTGAACCCTAAGAAAGCAGAAGGAAGGAAATTATAAAGATAAGAGCAGAAACTGGTGAAAGAGAGCAAACATACATTGGAGAAAATCGACAATGTCAAAAATTGGTTCTTTGAGCAGATTAATAAAATATTAATTTCCTCTCAAGCAATTAAGAGAAAAATATACATTGCCAATACCAGGAATGAAAAGGTGGTGCTATTACAGATCCTACAGATGTTAAAAGGTTAATAAGATTTTTTTAACAAACGACTTTATTTTCAATGGAGCCCAAATGTCAGTCATTTTCTCATTCTACTGCTTCTGTGTCCCTGTGGATCCTCTGTATCCATGAGGACAGCAGAACTCAGCAATTTTGCTAATGCCTCCTCCACTCATGAAAACAGAACAGCACAGTATTTTTTTTTTAACTGGGGCTCAGGGAAATCAGTTGTTTAAAATATAATGGCTTGAATGGAATTGGACACAGTGGAATGGAACAGAATAAAATAGCATAGGGTGGAATGGAACGCAATGGAACAGAAAGGAATGGAATGGAATGGAATAGAACAGAATAGAATAGAAGTTAGACTTTGTGGCAGGCACTGGGCCTAATTTTGTAGTAGATATCCACTAATCGAACAATTGTTGAACATCTGCTAGTTGTCTGGGATACAGTGGGGAACAAAACAGAGAGAAATCTCTACCCTTATAAAGCTTATATTCTAGTAAGGGAGACAGATATTAGCATGTGCATAAGGCCCTGAGGCTAAAGGTACGAGGATGGCCCTTATGAGGAATAGGCAAAAGGACAATGTGGCTTGGAGTTCAAGACCAATGGATGAGGCTGTAGAGACTGGAGGTCATGGTAGGGAGTCTGGATTTTAATAGGATGACCACAACATCATCATCATCATCATTAACTCTTATAGCACTTACTATGTGTCAGGCATTGTTCTAAGCCCTTAAAAATACAACTCTTTTTAAAACAATGTTCACAATAGTCCTATAAGATATGTATAAAATCATGCCCACTTTACAGAAGGGGAAACCAAGGCACAGAGAGATTAATTAAATGTCAGTCTGGCTCCAGAGTCTGTTCTTTTAACCACTCTGCTACTTACAGTGCCAGATAACAGGCACCTTATAATCCTGTGGCAGATGTAATGTAAATATACAAATTACTATAGAATGCAAATCAAGAGAAAGATCTGGTGGGAAGTGTGCTGAGGGCAGGAAGTGAGGGGGGGATGTGCCCTCCCACTGGGTGTCAAGGTGGATCCGTAAACATACATGCCCAGAAACATTTATTTCATCTCTTTCCTCTGCAGAGTGGGAAAGGAGGGAACTGGGTTAAATTGGCAAAGGAAGGCTTGTACTCATAGGGTTGAGACTCCTCTGTGTCTTGTCATTTCTTGCAAAAGAGATGAATTCCAGCTTAGGGAGGACAAAAGAGGGTTTGGTTTCGGTCTCCACTCCCCTTATCTTCACCTCTATCCCTCTGGAAGGAGAAATAGAACAAGACAGCAGTGGAGAGTGGTCATGGAAGGCATATGGACTCTTGTGAATCCACACATGGGCAATAAGACTCTACTGAAGATTCCTCCCAGAATTTTCCCTTTGAAATTGGGGTGAGGAGGAAGTATGGTCATTGAGGAGGCGAGGGGAGGTGATGAGAAGGAAACACAGGAAACATGGGTGTGACCAATGGCAATGTGATCTCTTCTAACTTTTTTTTCTTTTTTAGTCATGGAGGGACAACAGTCAGATGCCTTCCTCATGTCTTATCCATAGACTTGACCACATCGTGATGACAGTAAAGAGCATCAAAGATACAACTATGTTTTATTCCAAGATCCTGGGCATGGAGGTCATGACTTTCAAGGTAATCACTTCCCCAGATGCCAAACTGCAGGTGGAATAAAATTTGATTATAATCCTTTAAAAAATAACCTAACTCCAAAAAAAAAAAAAAAAAAAAAAGGAAAAAAAACACACAGGAAATCTGTGAGAAAAATTAAAAGGATCAATGGAGGGGTTTCCAAACTCTGAATTTCAGAGAGAGAATGGAGAAAATGGAAGGGAGGAAATTACCATAGAAATAATGCAAGAGAACTTTCTAGTTTTTATATAGAAAGTGTTGACTCAGTATCTAGAACATTGATACTTAGATATGTTCTTATGAAATTATAAAACATCAAAGTGAAAACAAAGATCCTAAGAGCTTTCTGAGAAGTTAAAAAGAAAAGAAATGTAGTTCAACTACAAAGGGAAAAGAAATACACAGATATCAGATTTCCCAAGAGTCACCTCAGAGACTAGAAGACAATAGAAGAACACCTTCAAGATTCTGAGGAAAAATTTCAACCTACAATTCCATGCCCAAACAAACTATTAATCAAGGTGAGTGCAGAATAAAACATTCTTAGACATAAAAAGACTCATAAACTTTGCCCACTTGCTTTGAAAATTGAGAGTATGCTACATCAAAATGAGTGAGTAAGCCAGGAATAAGGAAGATATTGAAATTAAGACACAGTGGATCCCAAGAGGAAAATCCTAGAAAGATACCTAGGAAACAATCAGTCCAGTTTGGAACAAGAGAAAGAAAGATCCCAAGAAAGAGAGATCCAAGGAAAAAAGGAGTTTTCCAGAGATTAAATACTATCCTTAAGAACTCAGAATAACTTCAAAATTGGAAAATGCAGAGACATTTAAATATGTCTTAAACTGAAAGGGCCCATGGAATGGCAATCAGGGTAAAAATTTAAAAACTAATATGGAATGCTATGCACAAAAATAGAACTATGCACTATCAGACTGGACGTATACACAGCAAGACGAACAGGTCTTAAAAAGATCATGCTGAGTGAAAAGTGAAGAAATAGAACAAGGTCTACAGTGTGGTACCATTTATAACATACGCACATAAAACAATAACACACTTTTTACAATAACTTATGAAAACCAAAGGATGTACATCATACACATGCCTAGGGAGGGGACAGGAATGGAGAATGGAGATAAAAAGAATAAATATACAAATAAAACTAGAGAGGGGCCTTGCATGGGCCAATGATGATAACGAGGCATATGATGCCTCAACTCCATGTCCCTGGACACACTGGAGTGAAATTTCAGTACATCTATGATCAAGAAAAGTCCTAAAAGCTGCAAGAGTAGAGGGTGGATGTATTATCTACAAAAGAATGAAAAACAGATTAACATTAGATTTCTTATCAGCAACACCAGATTCAGGAAGACAACAAAGCAACATATTTAAAAAGCTGAGGGAGATACATGCACCCCTGTGTTCATTGCAGCGTTATTCACAATAGCCAAGACTTGGAAGCAACCTAAGTGCCCATCAAGGGATGAATGGATAAAGAAAATGTGGTATATATACACAATGGAATACTACTCAGCCATAAGAAATGATGAAATCCAGCCATTTGTGACAACATGGATGGACATTGAGGGTATTATGCAAAGTGAAATGTGTGTGGTGATGGGTTGTAATTAGTATTTGCGTGGTGAACATGATGTAATCTATGCAGAAATAGAAGTATAATGATGTACACTTGAAAATTATACAATGTTATAAACCAATGTTACTGCAATAAACAAAAAATTTAAAAATAAATAAATAAATAAATAAATAAATAGATAGCTGAGGGAAAATAACCTGCAGCCTCATATTCTATACTCAGTCCATCTATCATTCAAGTGAAATAAAGTCACTTTCTGATAGAATGGATGTGGTGTCAATCATGGTGATATAAAAGAAATATAAAAATGATAAAAGCAATCGCCGAAGTTGAGAGGCACAGGAGAGGGAGGCAACATGAAGAGAAGGAGAGTAGGGCCGATGAGATACTAGCTGTAGTTCATCTATCAAAACATAAAGATGTAAGTGGGTTATTTAAAAATTGTAAAGGAACCATGGGCCGGCTCCGTGGCTTAGCGGTTAAGTGCGCGCGCTCTGATGCTGGCGGCCCGGGTTCGGATCCCGGGAGCGCCCCGAGGCACCACTTCTCCGTCCAACGTGAGGCCGAGTCCCACGTACAGCAACTAGAAGGATGTGAACCTATGACATACAACTATCTACTGGGGCTTTGGGGGGAAAAAACTGAATAAATAAAAAAAAAAAAATAAAAATTGTAAAGGAACCAAATGAGGAACTAAAAACGATGTAGAATTCTATTGGGAGGGGTAGTCGTATGGATAAGCTAAATTCTCATTTATCATAGCAGGGAGAGGAGAGAAAATATCTAAAGTTGGTAAATCAACAAATAGTGGCACATCATTTAGGGACTGTGTCTGGAAGCACACAGGAGAAAGCTCAACTACCAGCGGGTTAAATAAGATAGTTTTCTTTTTCTCTCATTTATCAACCAGTACAGAGGAAGGCTGTCAGGGCTGGGGCAATGGCTGGGAAGAAGGAGGAAGTGAATAGGCAAAAAGTGCCAGCTCAATGGGGTGGGGAGGTTCCCAGAAGCCCCACCCACAACCTCTGCTGACATCTCATTGTCCAGTCAGTCTTACATGGCCTCCCAGCAAGGAATGCTGGGAAATGTAGGTTTTTAAAGCTGGGTGCACAACTGACCCCATTGAAATTTGGATTATGTTTTTAAGAAAAAAGGGAGAAATGTATATTAAGCAGACAAATTACTGTTTCTGCCATGGATAGTATAAACATATTCTTTGGAGATATGGAAATAATTTCCAGAAGAAATACACACACACACACACACACACACACACGCACGCACATACACACACGTTGAAAGCAGTTGCCTCTAGGGAATGAGACTGGGGTGGGGCAAGAGGCTGTTGTTTTTTCATCAAAAGCCTTGTTCTACTTTTTTTTTAACCTTGTTGGGGTAAGTTGGGGGGCTTTGCCTCACATTCATCTTGGAGGTTGAGTTCTAGGTTGTCTTCTCTCCCCAAATAGGGAGACTGAAAAGCACTGTGTTTTGGAGACCAGAAGTTTAACCTCCACGAGGTGGGAAAGGAATTTGAACCCAAAGCCGCTCACCCAGTTCCTGGCTCCCTGGACATATGTCTGATCACAGAGGCGCCCTTGGAGGGAGTGGTCCGGCACCTCCAGGTGAGCTGGACCTCCATTCTTTTGGAGACAGCTGCTGTAGACGCAGTGGAAACAGAAGCATGAGCCAGGGAGGTCTTCCTCAAACTTCAGACATAAGGGGAAATGCTTCATCACAGCCAGATAATGCCTATACATAATTGTTTACTCATTATTTTTATTGACATCATTTTTTATGTAAACAAATGTATTTTAAAAGGAAACTTTACATCACCCTTGTAAAAAAAATCATACCTAAATTCTTTTTACATAAATACACATATAAAAAGAAAATGTTCAACCAAGTAAATGAAACACCCATTATATCTTGGCACAAAGGGAAGGTAACTATAAAACAAACAGCTATAAAAGCATCACAATGTCATTAGATTCTAATCACTTCTGTTCTCTGAACTTTCTGGGCCAGACATTCCAAAGGGAGAGTTGGCAAGTGGTTAAGAGGGTGCTAAAGACTTGTTAGCATCCACCAGAGACTTTCTTCTTGGTATAATCAGAAGGATTGAAGAGGGAATAATTTCTGATTCACTGTTATTTAATTTGGTGTCTCTGTAACACAAAATGATTTCATGTAAAGGGGGTATCGGGTTTCCTTTTGGGGAACACAGATCGAGGTCTTGAATATATTCTGTAGAAATATCCTGGATTTCTTCCTTGGAAAGTATCAGTGAAAAAGTCTGGTTTAGAAGTAAAGTGGGGAAAGTATAGGGGTTAAGAGCATGGACTTTGGCCTAGACTACCTGGGTTTGAATTCTGATTCTGTCACTTACTAGATAATACTAGGTACTACTATTATCTCCATTTTACAGATGAGGAAACTGAGGTACAGAGCAGTTAGGTACTCTGCCCAAGGCATACAAGCTGGTAAGTGGCTGGAGCACAGTGAGGGTAAGGAGAATGGTAGATGAGGTCAGAAAGGTACAGGGGTCTTCTAGGCCACTATAAGGAATTAAATTTTGGTCTCACACATGGACTGTGATGAGTGACTTTTGCCTTCTCCTCCCACTTCAGGCTTGTGATGTCCCCATTGAGGAGGGTCCAGTCCCCAGGACGGGGGCTAAAGGGCCTATTATGTCCATCTACTTCCGAGACCCTGATAGAAACCTGATTGAAGTGTCCAACTATATCTCCTCGTGATTGAGGCTGGCCCTCCTCCATTCTGTTCCCTGCGATGTTGCCCTCTCCCTTCCTTCCTGCAAACCCTCGCCCAGGCCCAGAGACCTCCAAGGACTGAGGACTTAGGCATTTCATACATCCTTCTGGGGGGACCTGAGATGGGTTTGGGACCAAACCCACACGTCTGAATGTCCTCCATCCAAGCTGCCCCAATAAATTAATAACCTCTCAATATGAGCTCTTCGGTATTATTGTCTTGGCATTACATATGGGTGTTGGTCTAGGGCGTGAGGTCTCTGAGCTGTTTGGGGGTCAGTGACCAGAGTATGACACCTCTGAGAACCAAATCCAGAGTCATCCCCTTGGGATTCAAGGCCCTTGACAGATTTCTCCTTGTCAGTGAGCCCACCCTTTTTCATCTTTTTGGAACTCACCTCACTCTTTCCAAGTGCTGCCTGCTGTTTCCTCCACCCCATAGGTTTCACTGAACCCCAAGATCTCTATGATTCCTGTGGGACCTCCAAGGACTAGCCCAGATGATACTACCTCCTCCTGAAGCATCTTTTCTGGTCTCACCCCTAGGGTACTTTCTACCTTTGGATCCGGTAGATCCAGACTCATCTCAACTGAGGCTCAGCTCCTGACAGAGTAGACGGACAAGAAAGAATTTCCTCTGTCTCTGTCCTCCCCCCTGACCACACCATTCACTCATTCAGTCAACTAATAAACATATATTGAGCACCTACTGTGTGCTTGGCCCTGTTCCAGGCATTGGAGAGACAATGTTGAACAGAAGAGCTAAGCATATCTATGTTTGTGGAGCTGCCATTCTATGGGAGAGATACAAAATAAATAAAATTAAGTAAGGAAGACATTAAGTATGTCAGAGGATGATAAATGCTTTGGAGAAAAAGAAAACATGAAAAAGAGGGAACGCAGATAAAAATTGTTGGGGCAATTTCCAAGGTGTAATGGGATGGTCAGGGAAAACCTCACTGAGGAGGAGACATTTGAGCACAGATCTGAAGAGATGAGGGAGGGAGCCGCACTGATAGCGGGAGGAAGAGCATTCCAGGCCAAGAGAACAGCCAGCGCAAAGGCCCTGAAGTATGAATGTGCCTGGTGTGTGTGAGGAACAGCGAGGCCAGTGCTGTGGGAGCAGAGTGAGTGAGGGAGAGCAGGTGGAGGTGAGATCGGAGAGGTGGTGGGGACAGATTGCGTAGGGCCTCCTGGACCACGGAGAAGACTCTGGCTTTTACTCTGAGTGAGAGGGGAGCCACAGGAGGGTCGTGAATGGAGGAGGGCCGTGATCTGACTTAGGATTTAACAGGTTCCCTCTGGCTGCTGTAAGGAAAATAGACTGTAGGGGTGAGGGCGGAAGCAGGGGGACCGTGAGGAGGAGGCTACTGCAGTGGTCCAGGCCAGTGATGCCAGTGCTGCAGGCGAGGTGATAAAAAGTGGTTAGATTCTGGAGATACTTTGAAAACAGAGACTGGATGAGTTCACCATGAGAGAAAATGTCAACTAGAGAAGAGGCTCAAGGACATTTAGAGTTCTGAAACAAGAGGAGGAACCAGCAAATGAGGCAGGCAAAGAGGAAGGGAAGCATATGGCTTCCTGAGTGAATGAGTGATAGATGAAGGAGCATATGTGAGAGTCTCTCGGAGGTATGGGAGCCCCTAGCCTTATGGACTCTTGTCTCTAAACAGTCCCCAGATGGTAGTTCAGCCATGCCCTTTGAGTGAACCCCCAGGGAGCCCCAAAAACGCTGGGAATAGAGGATGTGTAAGGATGTGACTTTCAGCCTGTGAAAGGCTTTGCCAAAAGCTGTAGCAGGTTTTCTGCCTATTTTTAAAAGACATCTTGCCTTGGACCCAGATGTTAGATGCCTGGAAATAAATGATTTACAGAAGGAAGGAAGGGAGGGAGGGAGGGAGGAAGGGAGGAAAGGAGGAAAGGAGGAAGGAAGGGAGGGAGGGAGGGAGAAAGGAAGGGCAGCAGATGGGTGGATGAATGAATGGGCAGGTGGATGGGTGGATGGATAGATGGGTGAGTGGGTGGACAGATGGGTAGATGGACTGACATCCCCTGCCCCTGGAGAAACTCTTTCATATGTGTCACAGAGAGAGGAATATGAGTTTGTAAACTGCAGTTCTGCTGTAATAGGGAAAAGACTGGAAACAACCCAAATGTCCATCAGCAGATGAATGGTTAAACAAACTACAGTATATCCACTCCATGGAATACTACTCAACAATAAAAGGAATGAATCTATGAGGCCAGCACTACCTGATACCGAAACCAGACAAAGACATAACAAGAAAACTACAGACCAATATCTTTTATGAATATAGATGCAAAAACTTCAACAAAATACTAGTAAATAGAATTCAGCAACATATAAAAGGATTATACACCATGACCAAGTGGAATTTACCCTAGGAATGCAAGATTGGTTCAACATACAAAAATCAATCAACGTTAATACACCATATTAATAGAATAGAGGACAAAAACCACATGATCTCAAAAGATGCAGAAAAAGCATTTGACAAAATTCAACACCCTTTCATGATAAAAACACACAACAAACTAGAAATAGAAGAGAACTTCCTCAACCTGGTAAAGGGCATCTACAAAAAAACTACAGCTTACATCATATTTATTTATTTATTTATTTATTTTTATAATTTTATTTATTTATGTATTTATTTTTCCCCCAAAGCCCCAGTAGATAGTTGTATGTCATAGCTGCACATCCTTCTAGTTGCTGTATGTGGGACGCGGCCTCAGCATGGCCGGAGAAGCGGTGCGTCGGTGTGCGCCCGGGATCCGAACCCGGGCCGCCAGCAGCGGAGCGCGTACACCTAACCGCTAAGCCACCGGGCCGGCCCTTACATCATATTTAATAGTAAAATACTGAAAACTTTCTCCTGAAGATCAGGAACAAGAGAAGGATGTCCTCTCTCAGCACTTCTATTCAACATTGTACTGGAGGTTCTAGCCAGCGTAACTAGGCAAGAAAAAGAAATAAAATGCATCCGTATTGGAAAGAAAGAAGGAAAACTATCCCCATTTGCAGATGACATGATCTTGTACACAGAAAATCTTAAGGAACTCACAACAAAGTCATTATGTATAAGCTCAGCAAGGTTTCAAGATACAAGATCATAGAAAACTTAATCGTATTTCTATACACTAACAATGAACAATCCAAAAATGAAATTAAGAAAAAATTCCACTTAGCATCAAAAAGAATAAAATACTTAGTAATAAATTTAACAAAAGATGGGCAAGACTTCTACACTGAAAACTATAAAACATTGTTCAAAGAAATTAAAGACCGGGGCCGGCCTGGTGGCACAGCGGTTAAGTGTGCGTGCTCCGCTTCAGTGGCCTACGGTTCGCAGGTTTGGATCCCGGGTGCACACCGACGCACTGCTTGTCAAGCCACGCCGTGGCAGCGTCCCATATAAAGTAGAGGAAGATGGGCATGGATGTTAGCCTAGGGCCAATATTCCTCAGCAAAAAAGAGGAGGATTGGCATCAGATGTTAGCTCAGGGCTTATCTTCCTCACAAAAAAAAAAGAAAGAAATTGAAGAACTAAATAAATGAAAAGACATCACGAGTTCACGGACTGAGGACTTTATAGTGTTAAGACAGATTTAATGCAATCTCTATCAGAATCCTAGATTGCTTCCCTGCAGAAACTGACAAACTGTTGCTAAAATTCATATGGAAATGCTAGGGACCCAGAATAGTTATAACAATCTTGAAAAAGAAATACAGAGTTGGAGGACTCATACTTCCCAATTTAAAAACTTACTACATGGCTACAGTAATCAAGACTGTGTGGTGGCATAAAAACAGATATATAGATCAATGGAATAGAATTGAGAGTCCAGAAATAAACTCATACATTATGGGCAACTGATTTTTGACAACTGTGCCAAGACAATTCAACGGGGGAAAGAAGAGTCTTTTCAATAAATGGTGCTGAGACAGCTGGATATACACATGCAAAAGAATTAAATTGGATCTCTACTTCATACCATATACAAAAGTTAACGCAAAATGAATCAAAAACCTAAATGTAAGAGCTAACACATGCAAAAAATTAAATTGGATCTCTACTTCATACCACATACAAAGGTTAACTCAAAATGAATCCAAGACCTAAACATAAGAGCTAAAACTATAAAACTTTCAGAAGAAAATATAGGCATAAATCTTCATGACCTTGGATTAGGCAATGGTTTCTTAGATATGACACCTAAAACATAAGCAACCAAAGAAAAAATAGATAAATTGGACTTTATCAAAACTAAAAGCTCCTGGGCCGGCCTGGTGGCTTAGCGGTTAAGTGTGTGCGCTCCGATACTGGTGGCCCGGGTTCGGATCCCGGGCGTGCACCGATGCACCGCTTCTCCAGCCATGTTGAGGCTGCATCCCACATACAGCAACTAGAAGGATGTGCAACTATGACATACAACTATCTACTGGGGCTTTGGGGAAGAAAAAAAGGAGGAGGATTGGCAATAGATGTTAGCTCAGAGCGGGTCTTCCTCAGCAAAAAGAGGAGGATTAGCACGGATGTTAGCTCAGGGCCGATCTCCCTCACAAAACAAACAAACAAACAAACAAAAAACCTAAAAGCTCTTGTGCTTCAAAGGACATGCTCAACAAAATGAAAAGACAACCCACAAATAGGAGAAAAAATTTGCAAATCACATATCTATAAGGGCCTAGCATCCAGTATATACAAAGAACTCTTACTACTCAACAATAAAAAGACAAATAATCCAACTAAAAATGGGCAAATGACTTGAATATACATTTCTCTAAAGAAGATATACAAATGGCCAAACAAGCACATGAAAAGATGCTCAACATCATTAGTCATTAGAGAAATGCAAATCAAAACCACAATGAGCTACCACATCACATCCACTAGGATGGCTAGAATCAAAAAGAGGGACAATATCAAGTGTTGGAGAGGATGTAGATAAATTGGAAGCATTGTCTAACTGCTGTGGAGAACACTTTTGCAGTTCCTCAAAAAGTTAAATACACTATGGCAAACAGTATGAAGATTCCTCAAAAAATTAAAAACAGAAATACCTTATGATCCAGCTATCCCACTACTGGGTATCTACCCAACAAACCTGAAATCAACAATCCAAAGAGGCTTATGCACCCCTATG